GCTGGGAGCAGGTGCTCCCTCTTTCGTACTAGGTGTTCCCTTTCTCCAGAATGTCCAAAAAGGGTCCAACTTCATTCCTTTCTAGCCAATTCCGATTGCAAGTTCCAGTCATTGCTTCCAGCCGATTTTTGTACCTAGAATGACTCGATNGAGAGTGAAAGACTCGATAAAAGCCTACAAAACAAAGGTTAGAATGCGCCAAAAACGCATTATATCAATTGTACGTCAACGTATGATAACCTATAACAGCTTCGTAAGAGCTTCAACGTAAGAGACTTTCTAATAGAGGTTTAACTCTTTGTCGGATTCGTCATTCATGCATGAAAAAGTTTTGATCATTAAATTTGCGACCCGTATTATTTTTGATTTGGGAATACCGGTCTGCCCCATAGTTTAATCTGTAATATGTGATCAAATTACAAAGGCTAGACACTATACAACATTGACAATTTCGCTAAATAAGAGCCAATTCATACGTGACCAAGAAAAAGAAAAAAAAAAGCCAAATCATCAAATGAGAGTACATATTTCCTAAACTTTGTAGTTGGTTGGTTGGGTTTAATTAATCTTTGGTTAAAACTTCTCATATTATAGTCTTAAATATAACTAAGAACGAAGTTTCTAAAAGAAAGAATCAAATGTTCTTATTCAACTACACATACATATGGCGTCTATATCTTCATTTTAAGTTTTTAACGGAAATAATGTGGAAGATTCAAAGGGTTACTCAAAGTAACCCAAAAGACATTCTCGAGCATGTTTTATTAATGATGCAAGCAAAAGTTAAAATCAAATACTGAGGAAAAGTATATAAACAATTTTAAAATTTTGTTATCAACTAAATCCTGTGAAGCAATGTCCTTAACAATGCCTGAACCGTGTGGAATGAACAGTTTGACTTCGAAAACGCACCAATTTCCTTCAATGTGTCAAAATACCGAGGAGATGTCTCTGGAACCGACTCATATAAAGTGAGCATGTTGCTTCTTAGACCGTACACAATGGCTTGTCTCTGACGGGCTATACCCAAACGCTGAGTCAAAATTCAACTTGTACACTTGCTCAAATAACTTTCCAAAAGTAAATTAGTGGTGAATTAGTAATTCTTAGGCGAATACTAAAATTATAGCTTCAAAACTAACTATGCCTCTTCTCGTATTTACCTCTTCTCGTGTGGCTGACCTTGTAAAATGCATCTTGAGCCCTCTCCACTAAGTCTCAGTATTGAATGGAAGCAACAACAGTGACACACACACTTTATCCTAAATTAGAAATGAACACAATACTTCCAGAATAATACTTGAAGAGAGACACACAAATATAATTGATTCGTACGCTCTGATCCCGTGGATACTAAATTTTCACGTGTTGCATTCAAAACTTGTGCTACATGCTCAAAAAGATCAACTTAAGATCAAAAAAATACTATACGATAAAAAGTGTTATCAAATGGTGATATGAAATAGAGAAGAACATAACCTTAAATAACATAATAAAGAGAATCTCCACCTCGTCACGGATGATTTTTGGTGATTCTTCCAATACCAGATCCACAATTAGCAAAATGATTCATGTGATTTGCAATAACAAATACAACAAAACCAATAGATGAAGTCATTTTCCCATATGAGTCGGCCAAAAATACAATACAATGAAACGACTATGAAAAAAGAAGAATGTGTATCAAATATTTGTACAAGCATACTTATTTGAATCCTACCAAGTATAAGCTTTTATTAAGAGCATATGCTTATATAGTGGATTGTAAGAATGATTTAATGGTGTGGAACTTCTAAAAAGAATCAAAGCATATCAAACCAATTTGCTTAATCAAAAACCTTGATGCCTCTACTATTTGGATACGAAGACATATATTTTGTGGTGAGAGAACAATTGTAACTTTCTTCATTCAATACCAAGATGACTAAGAGAATATAACAGCGTTGAGTTAACAAAAAACTAATATCTCTTTCATATAACATGAACCAATCATGGATGCAAAAATATTAAAAAACCATCATCTAACCTCGTAATATTTCCTTATTAGATACCCTCCCAATTGAGAATATAGATTACCAAATATTGTAAGCTCTCGGTCACATATAGCCTGCAAACAGAAACAAAGAACAATTCAGAAGATTCTACAAGAATATCCTAGATAAACATGTTTTAGGATTATGTAGGCCAATCACACTAATAGAACCCAAGCGCTTTAATGACTATATGTTAGAAGCAGTACACCATACCCGACAAAAACCATCTCTGTTGTTGTAGCACAAACTTGCAAAAAGATAAAATAATCATTCGGAGAAGATGAAACAATATTTAGAGAAGATGAACAAAACTCAAACATGAGGCGGCAAGCATACATCATTGAGAAACACGAAGGTTTAAAGATTCCCCGACCAAATTTGAATCTTTATGCTAATTGTTGTCATCTCTGAGCACAAATTCAGAGCTTTCTATATTGTACTGCTTACTCTACCCATGAAATAGCGAATTATAACTCGGATGAATCACAGCAAAAGAAAACAGTATCACTTCGAAATAAAGCTGGTATCTCTATCCGATTCCAGATCGGATAATTAAACCAAAACTCTTGTGATTCCCTCTTCCTCTCTGTCATATTCAAGTTGACCCCTAAATTAAAATGCAAAACTCAAAAGACTCGTAGCGGGACAAGCAATGGACTTGAATAGCGAAGGGTTGGATCCTAAAGACGTTGGATTAGAGCATATTGAGTTTATTCACCTTCATAAAACCGGTTCGTTGCTCGAAGCTTCTGCGATTATCGGAGTGATCGTCGGAGGTGGATTAGAGGAAGAGATAGAGAAAGTGAGAAACTTTGTGAGGTGTATTGGATTGTTATTTTAAGTTGTTGATGATATTTTGGATGACACGAAGTCGTCAGAGGAATTGGGAAAAACCGCCAGTAAAGATCAGATCGCCGGAAAGCTGACGTATCCGAAAGTGTTAGGTCTTGAGAAATCGAAAGAGTTTGTTAAGAGATTGAAGAATGATGCGAAAGAACATCTTAAAGGGTTTGATTCAGAGAAAGTAAAATCTTTGATAGCTCTTGCTAACTTCATTGCCAACAGAAATAACTAAAATTGTGGTTTGTTAGTTAAACATTTGATTGTAGAGTCACAAACTAGTCCTCCAAATGCCATATAGAATCGAAACCGCATTTTTCTCTAATCACGCTCTTCGCAATCGTTCGAGCAATTGAATTAACACCAAGTATCACATCACATTGAATAAGACCAACCATCACATCGACCCACATGTCAATTGACTTAAAAAAATAGTTTGATGTTTATACTAAAATGCTGAATAAAGAACATAAAAATGTCCCTTTGTGAGAGACACTTCTCCCTAGTCTTCATCAACTAACTCTTCACCTCTCAAGCATTGACTAAGCACATAAACAATATACTCCTAAACATAAGATTGATTACTATATATATAAAAAGCCATAATCAATCGCATCAAATCTTACAAGTATCTCTTTGATTAATATGTATTGAGCAAAAGGTTGCCTCAAGGCAACTATATAATACAATTAAGATAAGATTATCCTTAGCTTTTCTTAACACTTGTGCTAAAGAAACAAACCAACAATCTTCAAAGCCAACCAGGAACACGAATCTGCCTTCTCACGACAGCATTTCTGTCCTGATCATTAATCGAAAACACACAAAAGAACTCAATCCAAACAATTCATAAATCATAATCATGAATCATATAGGATGTTCAGAATTTTGTTCAAAAAACCTAAAAACAAAAGAGCACAAGTAATAAGACCATGATAATGGTATGAATATGTACTTATATTCCTCCCTCCTCACAACATTGAAATCATAAGATTGCAATGCTCGTAATATAGACCTGAAGGGAAGCATCTTGAAGTATGANGGCAGTCAAAAGTCAGGTTTACCATCTCCAATCNTTACCACTAAAGATGATCTCTTCTTTATACTTTTGCTTATAGAGTTTAAAATAATTGAAAATACAAAACATATGCAGCAATTCAGAAAATTGAACCTTAATTAAACTCATGAAAATAATTATATAANACAACAAAATAATCTTCATCAAACAAATCNGCAAAATTTTATATACATATTTAAAAAGCAAAAGCCTTTCGGTACTTTCTAAAAGCCACCATGTAGTCTTGTTTATGAGAGTAAATGGAGGTAGAAAAACATATCAAATTTAACGAATTGAAAACCTTGAACAAAACAGTTTTCATGGCTTTTCAAATAAAACCAATTACGAAATCTACGGTACCATAACGAAGCTAATTGTTACGCAAGTTAGATAGCACGGAGATTTACATATAGCCAAGATAAAAGCTATAACTAATATCTAAGAAAGATAAATTTACATGCTTTTGAGACATAGAAACGATNCCTTATACTGCTTAATTAACGACATATGGCTAATTGANGAAACTGTTAAATGAGGCAATAAACNCCACAGGATGATCTCATCCATTAACAAAAACAAAAAGAGAAGTTTCTAAATCCATTTTGATTAGGAAAACTTACTTGATGTGGATGATCTTAACATTTGTTTCCATGGTGGGTTGAGACCAGTNATAGGTGATAACATCGATTATACCACTGTTCCTTAAACAACCTATGTAAGGTTCAAATTAAAACATCACAAGTTCATAGTAAGCATAAATAACAATACCAAATTACAAAACATCAAAAGTAGATCAAAANGAGAATAATTATTGATTTTTTTGTTTGTGATGGTAAAAGAAGAGAGTTACCGAAAAAGGAGAAAAAAATGTCCTTACGCATATGATTAAATCATAAGACGCAAGACCGTTCCTTTGTGATAACACGCTCAATTAACCGAGCGGCCCTTCCAAACTCCAAACACTGACGTGTAATTCCAACACAATTGGAAATCTTAGGAACTGATAAAAAATTGCAGCAAACGAATCTCATTAAATCACCCCCTTGATATCTTTTAACAACCTTTACACCAACCAATACATTATTCACTAAGCAATCCTAAAAATCCATATTGGATCTTCGTAGAAAATAACATAGCCTCGCTCTTATGACGGTCCAAAAACCTCTATAATTTCAAGAAATCTGTCCAGGGAAGTCCAATATTTTAGCCTCTTCAAAACTAAGATCTTCTCTAAACAAATAAGAGATAAATAGTCAATGCAGTCTTAACTGTAGATTGACACACTTGCCATAGTTGTAACCATCAGTAGCAATAATCAACAACAGGGGAAAATTGTATATCAATCAATTTTCTCAACTCAGGCTAGCATCTCTATTCGATTCCAAATCATGGGTGATCCAATTAAACGAAACTCTTGCGATCCAGAATTGAAAATNNAATCCACNAAACAAACTCTTCCCTAATCGCAATTAGAGAAGCCTATNCACNTCGTTTCGTTAATACACAACTCCCGCCGAAACCAATACTATAAATTCCTCGCATCAAACAATATCCCAAGCCACCAAAGCTTCTCATCAATTTCCCCAGTGGTCGTGGAATCGAGAGAAAAAACAACTTTTGTTAAGCCAGCAATATTTGAAGGCTTGTTCGTCGCCATCTATATATGATCAAATCAACTAAAGAAATTCCATATGAAACTTTTTTATTAGCCCTAAAAACATTGCGGCGGATGATTATAAACGTCAAATATGAGATTTAGGTTTTGATATTTATAAAAGATCAGCGGCTAAGGATTTCTAATGACCAACATTTTTATGGGCTTTACGTGGCCCAAAAAAAAGAGGATGACAATCAGCGTAATTAAGTGGAGTTTTTAGGGTAGAAAGGTAATTTCAAGTCTGAAATTGATTCTGGAGCTGCCACCTAGGATCTACGACTTCCTATTTATAAGTATAGATTAC